GTATCGTGATTGCGACGTACGTAACAAAACTTTGCTCGCAAGTGAGTCGCGACAAGTTTCTTTATTAAATTTAGCGAAAGGCTGCGAGCAATTTCAACCGGTCTATTTTATTTGGCGACAAGAAATTCGAGCTCTCACGAAAGGCCGCTAGAATTGGCCAAGTTTGGAACGAACGGGTTACAAGAGCCAGCCATGCTTGTACAATGGGCTCAAGCTAATTTAATTATGAATCAACGCCATTGACCACCTTTCCACCTCGCAATCTGCTCCATTTCCTCAATTTCCTTTCCTTCCGTCCGTACGGCCGTGACCAACATTTTGCTTTTAACTTAATTTAGAAAAGATGCAAACTCAATTTAAAAAGATGTGATATGCCCTATCATTTAATAAGGGTACCACCTAATTTTCTTATATAATTTGAATGGCATTTCCACAAATTGCAAATGAATTGAATGACTACGCATTTTCTACGCATCTGCGAAAATAAATCATTTGTTAAAATTAACAGGGTAATAAACGCAAAATGGATGAAGGAAATAATGAAAAAGAGCTACAGGGAAAGGAGAACTGCTAGAGCAAGAAAGTATAATGATCCGACGTGGTATATTTCGAATCGCGCTATCGTTCCGCCTTGTTTCTTGCCTTTGTCTCTGTCTACGGTTTCCATTTGTATCGTGTCGCCGGCAAAAATGAGAATTTATCGTCGACTCATGAGAACGGGTGTAAATCCGCGTGTTTCCTCTTTGCGCTCAACGAACACGGTAACGCGTCGGCAGATATAGCAATAGCAGGTTTAATCGCGATACTTGTAGCGCGTTTATCTCACTCGATGGTCCATTAAATCCCATGGCTCTGGATAATATCGAGTTATGGCTGACGAGCCGCGGAATGCGCGCATCAGCGATTCCCTGGCGCATTTACACGAATTACACGGTGGAATCGAGGTCGAGGCGCGCTTCGTTTCGATTCGACTGCTACGGCAGGGCGATCGCGCTTCGTGACCTCGAATCAAGAGGCGCGGGAATAGTTTTTGCCTTTCGCGACGTTTCGCGAAGGACATATGTAGACACACGCGAGGCCTGGTCTGGTGTAGTGGGTCGCGTCCTTGCAGCTAGATCCTCTCCTAAATTTCGAGATTTTACGGCCCGCGAAGTCGAAGCCACCTCGTAAAATATCTGCGGCGATGGAAACTCGGACGGAATAAGAAGACATAACCCTGCTGGATAGAGCAAGAGGCGCGACATCGGGGACGAGATGTAGCGCCAGTAAAAGATAGGCAAGAACAGGAGAAATAGAGAGCCGTACAGTTATCTTTCAATCTACTCCGAAATCTATCCTCTCTCTCTCTCTCTCTCTCTCTTTCGCTCTCTTTCTCTCTGTCGCTCTCCTGTTTGAAAATTCAGATTCACAACTGTTGCTTAAACGTCTAGTAGATAGACCGAAGACTACATTCCCACTTTTCAATTTTTAGATCAAGCATTTTTAGTGTGTTTCCAGTCTCGCAAAACTCGCGCAAAAATATTCCAAAAATTCGCGAGTGTGTAAATTCAATCATTACTGTTATTATAAATTGCTGTTATAAATCGTGCAATGCCAGTGTCGCCAGTTTCATATTATTGATTGTTCACTTTGAAAGCTCATTGGTCTATATACAAATAGTATTGTCAAGTTATGTTAAAATTTCTAAATGAGTGAAACCTGGAAATAATTTCAAACTTGCGGCTTGTAAGTAAGAAACTTACTCAATACTGGTATAGAGATGGCAAGAAAGTTTGCACGAAGGCTCACATTTCCACCAGAAATTTTCTTCCTTTCTCTGAAAATAAATTTGCCTCAGCATTAGCGGTGCAATTCCGATGACTGCTCGCTTCATCTGAGTTACGTAGGCACGCACCAGCAAACCGTTATTGGCCGAGATTACGGATTGTATTAAAGCTTGGCTTTGCTAATTGATCGCAAGAAATCGCACGTAGCACGACCGACACGTGCCAAGAGTGTGAGCCAAGAATTCGCTGTCTTATAGGAATAGAATAATTGTCGGGGGGAATAAAATTTGTCGCGATAGCGGGATATATCGATCGATCGATGGCTAATGTGTTATGGTCGGTCACACATCGAACAAACAATTTTGTATTGTTTACAGAAAGATACGTCTTAATGGAAAATAAATGTCACCGGGGATGATCATTGCTTTAAACCAAACGTTGCGGCAATTACGAGAAGAAACAGAGTGATGTAACAAATAATATGATACTGCACCGATCCCTCGTACACACGTATTAATGTAACCGCGACGGTTACATCGCGATGCTTTTATTATATTAAAATCAATTACGTTAATAATTTCCGTTAATTTTGCTACGATGAAAATAACTAATGTAACGCGCTGTAAAAAGAACATATTTACATGCTTGTGAAATAACGTAGGTTATTGTAGATATTGTTGTAATTATTTAGATATTAATTTCATTGGAAACAATACTTTATCTCATAAAAGATTTCTAAAAATACAGTGATAATTGGTGAAAAAGTTTCCGTCAACTCGAGTATGTATTCAGATACTGAATACATATTTCGATAGACCCAGTAATTATATATTGCAAATAATGAAAAAGTATTTCTGTAAACACGTACTACATCATTTCTTTCTCTTTTTCAGATGAAATAGCGTGATCGATATGGAATACATAGAGCGCCCAGCCAAAATCGTTCGAAGTACGTCGCAAGAGAATCAACTCGGAAGGTTTATGATTGCCTCGCGTGTCGGAGTGCAAACTCTCATGCACCGTGGGCAAGGATTTTCGATGGATGCAGCGGGTGTGTAAAATGTCCTAGCTGGAGTTCTCAGTTGGAGCCGGGTTCGGTACGGGTTTCGCCGATAAATAAGCTTGACCGTGGGGTGTCATATTTCTTTGTCGCGCCGTTGCGCCAACGCGCTATCTCGCGGTGCACGGCGCGGATATTATTTACGATCCGCTCGGGGGAGATTTATTATGGAATTGATTTCCCGCACGGCCGATCGGATTAATTTTCACTTTCGAAATGCACGCGAGCGCCGATTGGCTGCCATTTGTTTCGCACGAAACAGGACGAACGCGCGAAATTCATCGGTTCTGTTTGGTGTCCCTTCTGCACGTCAGTTGGCAGGATGAATTTCCGATGGGCGTAATGAAAAACATCCATGACGTGGAAGAATTGTAACGAATGTTGTAACGCGATCCGCCATTGTCTTGAGAATTGTCGCTAAGAGCGATCTCTCTCAGCAGTTTGCACGACGAGTAATGTAATAGGGCTGGGACAAAAAATATCTGTATAAAAAACAATAGCTCCATCATTCTCCGTAGAGAACATATATTAAACGAGCGATAGATTGAAAAAGGAAATTTATGTTCTCTGAATTCTTATTTACTTAATTTATTATCCAATTCTCAACACTTCTGTAACGATACGATTGGCTTTGAAAGAGGAAGTTTTGCTGTTGTCGAAGACAAGAAGGATGATGATGCTGGCGACAGACCGCGTCCAATGTAACAAAGACCACCTGTGAACACGTCATTAAGTCTTCATTTAATCGCTTCACTCCTCGAGATAACGCAAGAAAGCGTGTATTTTTAAGGGCTCATTAGTCTAACGAGCACTTAGTCGCATATTAGATGCAAGAAAGCTTTCATTATCGTTCGTCGCCACCACGAATCGTTTCAACAAAAAGTTTGATATCCATAGCGATGCTTAGAGAACCATGGAAAACCTGCCTTCTAAATACAATCCTACTTATTGTCAGCCTCGTGTCTACAACAGCACATATCTCAGTTAACTCTATGTTTGCTAATGTCGATTACGGAATGCAACCTCGAGACAGTTATCTACTTCATAGAATGGAGATCGTGACAGCCGTCGTGCAGGATGATAATCTTCGACAAAGAAAACGGATAACGACGCTTAGATGTACACCAACGACTCGATGCTTATCCCGCAAATGCTTCGTTCCTCGCGTAAATACTAGTCGCCTCGTTCATCTTACTGTGAGACGACGTTGTGCTAGTCGTCGTCACATCGTTGAGAGCGAGAGAGCACTCAAAAAAGGAAGAGAGAGAGAGGAATGAATTAGGGAGGGGGAGAGAGAGAGAGAGAGAGAGAGAGAGAGAGAGAGAGAGAGAGTGCAAGTAAGGTATGAAGCAGTCCGTTGAATGAAATTTGCAATGGAAATTTAATCTGACTCGATTCGTCTCGCGTAGCCAGCAGTCCTCTCCTTAACGCCAGTCATTGTTATGTTTTGCGGAATTTTCGACAGGGAATTGTGCGCCCCGGGAAAAGAACGCAGTAATATCGCGTCGAGCAGCGTCTTCCTCGCTTCTCAACCAACTCGCCGTAATTATATATTCCGCCGAGAGATGATGGACTCTTCTGAATATCACGTAGCTAAGATATATTATGAAATAAATCATCATTTAGTAAAACGCAGAAGGAACGCATATGACGGTTTTATTGTTTTCACTGATAAGAGAGTTGTTATATTACAACTACCGGTACAATCAAGCTCAAACAAGCTAATTTTACAACATCTTATTACATTTGTGGCATAAATCTATTCATATTTATGTAATAAACTGGTTTGGTAATTGGAGGTCATTAAATGATTTCTTGTATTCAAAATTGATATAACGATATGATAATACTTGATTTATAATCAGTACAAATCATATATTATATTATATTATATAACAATTTAACAAGTAACTGCAAGTTACATACGCTTGCCTCAAATGTATTATGCTCTACAGGAAATAACAGAAAAAAATCTTTTATAGCAATCGGTACGAAAAGTTTATAAATCTTCCCAGCTTTTTGAACTGATTATCAATGATATTAACAATGCATTTTAACGGAAGTAGAAATATAGGGAGGATAAAATATTCGGAAATCTTCTATAATATTTATAAGTTATATAAAGTACGAACGAAATCCTCGAAAAAAATAAATATGTATTGATATTAAAATTTAACAACGTCACATAACGCCGAAAGTTTTCAGTAGCACTAACTTGAAATTCTCGTTAAAACTGTCGTGCAATATACTACAGATAGCACCGTGGCTTCAGTTTCCTTTCCTTGCCGTTTATCGAGCAAGCCACTTAAATACATCATCAATATCACCAGTAATTATGCAAAATTCCTTTACCTGGAAAAATCGCAGGAGACGTTTTTCCACTAATCGATCCAAAATCTGCCTAATTTATCTTGAAAGGAGGAAAAGAGACGAAAAGAGGAAATAATTTAAAGTGGACTTCACAACATAAAACAAAGACACAAACATTTTCGGGGAGGAGGGGATGACAACTTTTAATGTATTTTTTTTTTATTACTTTATGAATAAATTCAATTCCCAATTGAAAATGCGTTATTGAAAAAAAAATTTGATTTTGTCTTACAAAACCATATGCAGATTCAAAAATTTTTTTACATCATCGATGTATGATTGTGTCTGCATTTTTTGCCGCTTGCAATATTTAGTATTTAATTTTTACCGCTAAATCTATTTGTTCTTTCCTTGTTGTTAGTTTTCTTATCAATTACAGCTGAAGAAGTATTTAAATTTCTCACTAATCTCGTTATAATTGACATTTATGGAGCGATATAAGTTTTAAATATTTAACTTCTGTTCAAACATTGACGTCAACCGTGATTACTTCTTCAATTTTTCCGTTGAAAGAAACAGCACGCGCGGAATATATCTCTTCTAAATGGAGAATGCAAATGCTCTGTCTATTCGACAGCAGCACCATCCAGTGCCCTTGGGATGCACTTTACCGGACCAGAAAAACGTCCACTTCTCCAGCCATAGAACTCAATTCGTTCTGTTAGTATGCGGTCAAAAATTTTGTTCCATTTTTTTTTATTTACGATCTAAGATAAATGCTTGCAAATGGCAATTAAAACACATCATGGATACATTGGGTAAAGAGTTATTTTTCTACAGATTTATATAATAAGTTTCTATAAATCGTTGAGAAATTACATACAATCTGTCTAATATCTTATTTCTCTTTTCTAAGATAATTTTGTACAAATTTTAGCATTCGGATACATTTGTTGTATTTCTAATTAACTTTGAAATTTACGTGTGATAATATTTAACGAAATGTATACTTATGCTTTTACGTAAAATATAAAATAAAAATTTACATTATTAATTCATTAAATATCCACGTACGTAATGTAAATCTAAATTACATTATATTGGGTTATATTGTACATACAAATGTGTATAACCATGTTTGTTACAACACTGTTCAAGGCAAACGGACTTTGCTTCGTTATATAAATCCTCACTTGAGATACTTCAATTAGTGTAGTAGTTAAGTATCGTATGATAAAAAAGTATGATTGAAAAATAGATCTATTATTTTTAGCCACAGATAAAGCGAAGATAATTTTGTGAAACATGATAATCTATTAAAAATAGAATCAACGTTAAAAAAGATAATCTTTTTACATATCCAAAATTTTTGTTTACGTTGTTAATTTTACATGGTCAATAGACACATGGTAAATAAATTTTCTTTCATCAATACTTAAAAAATAATATTTGCGATTTTTTTACATATTATAAAATATATTATAAAACAGATTAACTCCTTTCATTTATATGAAGGTCATTGACTATACATATAATACATTATATCTGCACTGTAATCAGTGTCAAAGTGCTTTCAGACGATATAGGCAATGTGAGTAAATATCGTACACATGCATGACATATATAATTATCCATATTGAATGTAGATTCAATATTTAGCGAATGTGTGCGAATGTGTTGTCGTCAATATGTAATCGTACGTTAGCTATATCGTCTGAAGGCGCTTTTATATGCACTGCGATTAAATCGTGACTCAGTAAGCGTATTCGCATTGAACAGATGCAATCAAGACGTACAGCTACTCAACAAAGTGCATATGACACAACTAAAAATGTCCTACGACGAAGATTTCCAAAAATGGATCAAAAAGATAATGTCGAAAATCATTGAAAGTTTTGGTCCAAACATCGATGAAGCTCAATACGAGATAACCGAGCCCACCGATATTTTTATGTCCACTATATGTTATGCGTGCGTCAAGTTTAAAAATAGACTAACGGATCAGAGTGAAGAACATTCTGTAATACTAAAAAGACCTAGACAGTTAGAAACCTGGAGACAGATGATGGGCAGCGACTTGCAATTTCACAATGAAATATTGTTTTACCGGATGTGTGCTCGACCGGATGAGAATTTTCCGAGATGTTTCTATGTCGACGAGAAGCCACCTATGGACTCAGTAATTGCTTTGGAGAACGTCAGTAAACGAGGATACTATCCTTACACATACAAATATAACGTTCCATTAGAATACACATTAGCGGCGATGCGCGAGATAGGACGCTTCCATGGCAGAGGATATGTCATGAAGGAACTACAGAAAGAAAAATTCTTCGATATTGTGGGACAGCTTCAAAATTTACCTAAATATAATAAGGTTCACGACTTCAACATCATTCTCAATTCTCAGGCAACGCGAGCGGTGGAATATCTTCGCAGCCACAACCATGACGCGGCTTTCTGCGACAAAATGGAAGCTTTACTTTCGAATGCATCCGACGAAGTGATAAACAAGACGATTAAACCACTAGAACCTTTGTCCACAATGTGTCACGGCGATTTTACATTGAATAACGTTCTCTTCAAGAGAGAAGATGATGGACAACAACATCTTCATGCGATGCTGATCGACTTCGCGACATGTAGCTATTCGACTCCCGTCGTTGATCTCTCTACGTACATTAGTTTGTGCTGCTGGCATGAAGTGATGAAAGACAAGTTTTTCGAGATAATGCGTGTTTATCACGACGCGTTGAAAGAGTATCTGTTAGAGGCTGGCATTTGGAATGTCGACAAGTACTCGTATGATGTTTTCCTTGACGATTACAAGAGAGGTAGTCTTTTCGGTTTCGTTATTGCATCTTTCTTTTTACCAATATTAATGGGATACGTCCTTATAAATGAACAACAAATAATAGAAATAGGTATGGCAGAATATTCTAAGATATTAAAGCAGGCAGGCGGAGATAAAATGTCTAAGATCTTAGCTGATATATTGCTATATTTGAAGGACCTTGGTTTCTTAAAACACTTTTTATAATCGCGTAATGTTTTTATATTATATTTATGTACGATACACATAATATTAGCATTAATGCATATAGTATCAATAAAGTATTTGTATCAATAAGTAATATAATATAGTATCAATAAGTAAAATTGTAGAATATTTAAATAATATACAAAATAAAAAAGTTTGCAAGTATAATTTCAAACGTACACAATGTAAATAAAAAGAAAAATCTGTACAAATATATATAATCTTTATACGTAAGTATAATGTATATAAATAAGAATGTACATTTTCAATTTACATTTTAAAATTTCTATTTCTTATTTCTTTCGCCATTTTCCATTTTAATATTGTAATTATATGTTTATTTACTTATTTAATTGTTTTTAATTTTATTATTTTATGTTTTTTTGTTCAATTCTATATAGATATTTATAGAAGAAAAATAAATATAGAATCACGAGACATTAGGAGTCAGTGCTAGTACTGATTTGCGTAAAAATATTAGGTTAAGTAAAAAGTCATCGCGTTTTTTTAAAAGAGATCTATCAGTAAAAACCGCAATTACTTTGTTACCAACAATATAAATATATCTTGATAAAGTAAAGTTTCAGCTTTAAAAATCTCTTTTTTAAATTATACGATACGACAATTTTTAATGGAGTTATGAGCAATTAAAGTCAAAATAATTCTTTTATTTAATCCGCGATAACTCAGTAATCAAAAGTCGTAGGAATATTAAAAAAAAAACGATTTTGTAGGGAAAGTATCAAGCTTTCACGATAGGTAATCGAAAATTTTCTCAAATTCGTTTTGGACACGTTACAAATCCACAAAGTGAGAAGAAAATTTTTCGTCTTTTTCAGCTCGTAGTTTTTGGTATGTAAAAATTATCAAACTCATATAAACTTAAAAAATGTGATAAGCTTTTAAAAGTAGAGATTTCAAGCTTTAAAACCCTTTTTTTTAATTTGAATTTCATTCATTATTGACGAAGATATTGTACAATATATACAACTTTGAGCTAAAAAATACGCGATGACTTTTTACTCAACCTAATATAACAATGATAAAGATATAAATAAAAAACGAAACGTCTAGAATTAATTAAATTTATTTATCTAGAGATGTTATATTGTCTTGACACTAAGGTACGCACAGCGACACTGCCGTTGTTACTTTACGCGAGCCGGCGAGTTGCCAGGGATTGAGATTATTGGATCTCAATAAGTGCTGAACTCAGGTTCTAAGTGTGCTCAATCGATTGCATCCGCTCAAAATATACAATAACAGTTTTTATTTTTCCTCTATGTGTCCTACGAGTGGAGATATTGGGATGCAAAATCTTAAATCTTTGATTTTATTAACATCGTCGACTAGAGAAAAAATGTACAGTTGCACCGTCTGGCACTAGATAGCCAGGAACTTTACGCCAATTGTTGATATCAAATCTTTTATACAAATAATAGTACACATCATTAGAGTAACAAAAGTTAGTACCACTTGCGTTTTGTTTTTTAATTTAATAGGATTTAACTAGTTAAGATTGTAGCATCTGAATTTTAATTTTTCATTTGATACATTTTTTTCAAAGAATAGTAATTTTTTTGACAGAAAATTAAAGTTGCTATTACTTAGATTGAAATAAAAATTTAAAAAATATTCAATAAAAATATCTTTGAAAAAAAATTAAAATTGCTATTAATTGGGTTGGATACTTAGGTTTTATTCGAGAAGCACCTTATTTTCTTAGCGCCTTTTTTTACCTTTCTTTAAAAAGGTAATTTTGTACTAATTCTACAGCAAACACGATTAGTCAGTTCCATGGCCAATCAAGTAATTGGCGTGAAATCGGTCCAAATAATTCTTTATGAAAAGCACGAACTCTTAGCGCTTTTTTTACGTTTTTTTAAAAAGATAAGATTATATAAACAAGAGACAGTACCATTTCTGTTTTACTTTTTAATTTGATACAATTGAATTTGATTATTTAAGATTGTAACATGCGGGTTTTAATTTATTATTTGATACATTAATTTTTTTCAAAGAGTAATAATTTATGACAGAGAATTAAAGTTGCAATTACTTGGATTGAAATCAGAAGACCTTCACTAAGAATATCCATGAAGAAAAATTATAATATCTTTGTCATTATTATATTTTTGCGCAAATCAGTACTAATGCTGACTCCTAAAGCCTGGTGATTCTATATTTATTTTTATTATATAAATTGAAGGAGTTCCTAAAATAGTTATTTTCTTAAAATAATTATTTCTTTTATTTATTGTTATCTATAAATATTCTTTGATTCTTATATTTTTTATTAATCCTAAACCAAAACCACCGTAAATGAAGAGATTCAAGTATCGATATCATTTATCATATTTTTTTAACTATATACATATTTACAAACTCCAATCATGATTTCTGTTATCACTTTCTTATATCATTATTTATCGCTACTTATCTTTGCGATATTAATAAGAAAAAATTTTTAAACCTGTCGTCCGTGGTGTAACAACAAAAATGTGTTGTGATTAATTTTTTTCTCTTTCTTTAAGATTTCTTATTTAAAATTTCAAAAATTTTAATGGACAATCAAAATAGACAATCACAGCAAAACAAGATTTTAACCAACTTTTCTATGTATGAACATATTTAATTATTTGTTTAATTTTTAAAGTAATTTTACATACTGATCTTTTTCTTCCATCCTTTATCTATTATTTGTATTTGATTGGAATCGAATATTTTTATTTTTTATTATTAAAAATAAAGAAATACGAGAAAGTGCTGAAAAATGAATAATGTGCCACTATGCGAGTAATATGCCACATACAAAAAAAAACGAATTATAAAATTTATTTTGTTTTTATTGCAAAAATTTGCAATAAAAAACTTATTA